TCCTGGCTCACATAACATGTTAGACTCAGCTCTGGGATCCTCATATCTGCTCAGTCTGTGACAAATGGGGATCCTGAGGCCCCGGCAGTCACAGGCTGGTCCTAGGTCACACAGTCCTTGAGACTGACCCTGCTTTGTACCAGTGGTGCAGAGGAGTGTGGGGTGGACAGGCATTGGGGCTGAGCCTTGCTACCCACAGGAGAAAGTCAGCAAGATGAAGGCCACCGAGGTGAAGCTCGAGAACGACAAGCGGCGCCTGAAGGAGGTGCTGGACGCCTCTGAGAGTCGCTCCATCAAGCTGGAGCTGCAGCGGCGTGCTCTTGAAGGGGAGCTGCAGCGCAGCCGCCTGGGTCTGGGGGACCGTGAGGCCCACGCTCAGGCCCTCCAGGATCGGGTTGACTCCCTGCAGAGACAGGTGGGCCCCTCTCCCTCCCGGTCACACCTACATGCCCTGTGCCGGGCTCTGTCCAGGCATCGTGCAGCTGCCGATTCTGTGAGGCAGGTCTTCACCATCAGGTTTCAAAGGTGCACAGGTCGAGGCTCAGAGTGGCGATGTCCTTGCCTGTCACCTGGCTAGGTTGACGGGGCTCTGGACAGGGTGGTTAACTCACAGCGGGGTGAGGCCAGACTACAGTAGGTTAAGACAGTAAGAGAACAAGCCGACAGGGTATGGATGAGGCCCAGAGGTGAGAGGAGCATGGGTAAGCACCCCTGGTGGAGAGCCCAATGAAGGGAGCCCGTGACCAGCCTCTACCTTCCTGCCAGGTGGCAGACAGTGAGGTGAAGGCAGGGACCTTGCAGCTAACAGTGGAACGGCTGAATGGGGCACTGGCCAAGGTGGAGGAGAGTGAGGGGACCCTGCGGAGCAAGGTGCAGAGCCTGACAGATGCCCTGGCCCAGAGCAGTGCCAGCCTCACCAGCACCCAGGACAAGAATCTGCACCTGCAGAAGACCTTGAGTAGCTGTGAACATGACCGCCAAGTGCTCCAGGTCTGGGGGGGGGAGGGGCTCCAGGGTCTGGCCTATATCTCTCTTCTTTCAGGAAAGAGTTGAGTGAGAGAGTTAGCCAATAAGAGCAGGTGTGGAGGGAGCTGATAGCCTGTAGGGCTGTCAGTCAGGAATTCTGGGGAGCCAGTGAGAATAGGCCTTGGGGCAGGAGACAGAACTAGCCAGTCATGGGGCTGAGAGGGGGTGCTGCCCAGTGAGAGAAGAAACCTGCTAGTATGGGACCTCGGTGCAGTTTGGGATACAGTGACTGTCCCCTCAGCACAGGTCAGTGGACAGGACCGGCAGCAGGCTGGACCATTTAGGTGTTTCACCCAAAGGGAAGCCGTTTGCTCAGGCTGGCAGGCTGGCATGGCACCATCAGCCTCTGTCTCCCAGGAACGGCTGGATGCTGCCCGACAGGCATTGTCTGAAGCACGGCGGCAAAGCAGCTCCCTGGGTGAGCAGGTGCAGACTTTGCGGGGCGAGCTCGCCAACCTGGAGCTGCAGCGGGGTGATGCTGAGGGCCAGCTGCAACAGCTGCAGCAGGTGAGGCCTGGGGGGCCTCTACCCATAGGGGAGCCTGTGTGGTCCTTGGCATGGGGTGGGGAGCCCATCTCAACTTCACTCCGAACCTCGACCCACACTCCCATTGTACCCCAGAGAGAACCATTTGGCCTCAGCCGTTTCCTCACATGGGCCTCGCGGTTGCTCACTACATGAGTAGGCACAGTGGGCCAGCACCTTTGTCCCCAAGTTTCAGATGGGCATCCTGAGGTGCGGTGGGATGAGGACTGCTGGCTTCTCCTGCAGATGCTGAGACAGCGGCAAGAAGGTGAGGCCACAGCTCTGCGCTCTGTCCAGAAACTGCAGGAAGAGCGGCGGTTGCTGCAGGAGCGTCTGGGCAGTCTGCAGCGAGCCCTGGCCCAGCTGGAAGCTGAGAAACGTGAGGTGGAACGGTCAGCCCTGCGGCTCGACAAGGACCGTGTGGCGCTCAGGAAGACGCTGGATAAGGTGACCTGCTCGCGGGGGCCTCCCTAGGTCTGCTGCGCCTCTTCAGTGTACTGCCCCTGTGGTCAGATTGTCCTACAGAGGCGCCTGTGAGCCCCTCCACCACCTCCATATCTACCCAGGTGGAGCGGGAGAAGCTTCGCAGCCATGAGGACACACTCAGGTTGAATGCAGAGAAGGGCCGCCTGGACCGCACACTCACAGGGGCGGAGCTGGACCTGGCTGAGGCCCAGCAGCAGATCCAGCAGTTGGAGGTCAGCTCTGCCCTTCCCCCGGCCTGGTCCCCAATTCCCATACTGAGCCCACGAGGTCCTGGGGGTGCCTATGGCTGAGCCAGCACAGGAGCCCAGAGCCTTTGGGAGGGTGTCCTCACTGGACTCGAGAGCGGGGCTCTCCCCATGGTGGAGGGAAACACTGAGGCTCATTGGTATTGAAGCCTGTGGTTCCTGTGTGCTGTGGATCTATGGAAGCCTGAGTGCCTATGGGAGCTTGCTCACGGGTACGGCATGAACCCCATGCGGCCTGAGTCCACGTAAATGTTTTCTTACATGCAGATGTTCGCTTACTGTGCCTTTGTGTCCATGTGTGCTTCTCTACACACATGCTCGCTTTTGTTCCTGTGAGTGTAGGCCGGCACTGTTGGGTATTTTTGTATGTGCATGTCTGTCTGTCTGCGTGTGTGGGCTTCAGTTGGGAGCCTGACCCAGGATCGGAATACACTGTCAGGGCCAGTGAGATAAGGGATAAGCCCTGCACTGTGTGCACATCGGGTTAGGACCCTGATTGGCAGCCCCTGTCCGCAGGCACAGGTGGTGGCCCTGGAGCAGAACCACAATCCGGTCCCACTGGAGGCAGACGAGCAGCGTCTGGAGCTGCAACAGGAGGTTGAGCGCCTGCGCAGTGCCCAGGTGCAGACAGAGCGCACACTGGAGGCACGGGAGCGGGCCCACCGCCAGCGGGTGTCGGGACTGGAGGAGCAGGTACGAGGGCCTCCCCTGGGGGATGATGGAGCTGGGATGGAAGTGTGGGGCTGGAGGAGAGGACTGGTCATGACCTCTATAACTTGAAAAGGGTCAAGCAGATCAGTGGGGGCACCAGCCATGGGTGGGGTGGTACTGCCTGGCCCCCGTGTCTCCTGGCCTAGGGCTCATGCCCTGCCTCAAGCCATCAGACCCTCTCCCTACACGGCCCGGTTCCCTTAGCAGTCCAGCTATAGGCTGTCCCAGCAACCTGGGACCCCAGTGAAGGGGCTCCCTCCCCGGAGTACTAGTAAGAGCCCAAGAAACGGCTCTTCCTGGTCACTTATGTCCCTTCTGGCTGTTCCTAGAGCAGAGCTTAGCTGCTTACATAGGCCCAGCCTGGTCACACGCACACTCCTGCTAGAGTCAGGCCCGGCCAAGTCTTCTGCGCCTCTCGCTGGCCCTCCTTGGGACAGGGTCCCCTTCTGGATAGAGCAGGGCAGGGCTGGGAGGACACGGCTCTGTGGAGTGATGCTGGGCAGAGCTGCTTCACGTGACCGAGCCTCTGAAGGGGTAAGGAGGCCAAGCACACAGACACCTGCCACGAGGGGCAAAGTGAGAAGCGGGGCTCCCCCTCTCTTAGGCAGCTGCCCCGACCTGCCGCAGGTAGCATACCACCCCTCACCAGCTCTGAAGTCAGCTGTGGCCTGGGCCGCTGGGCCCTTCTCCTCTCCAGGTGTCCATGCTGAAGGCACAGCTGCAGAAGGAACTCCACAGGAGCTCAGCACCCGTCTCCCCACCCTCCGGCACCCCAGAGCAGTGAGTCCCTTCCGGCCAGCATCCTGAGCACAGTTGCCTGGGCTGGAGAGGGGGCCCTTAGTAACAGAGACTGCCCAGGGCCTGGGCATCAGTGTGGTGGGAGGGAGCTGGGGTGACAGATGAGGGTGGTACTGTGGCTGTGGTCACACCCATGTGGCTTCTAAAGTTGCTGCATCACCTCTAACGCTCCAGGCCCCTCTCCTAGAAGATCCCCTGATGGCCGAGGCTCTTCTTTGAGGCTGAGCCAGCCAGAGGTCAGGGAGAGCGCCTGTTTCCACCAAGAGCAGAGCAGAGCTTCCCCAGGAAGGGATGCCAGGGAGCTCTCCCTTGGCTCCTTGTGTCAGGAAGCTCCTTAGTGAGCTTAGAGCCCTTGTATTTTTGTACCGTTTTTTATACTGTTAACTGTGAAGAACTGTTGTGATTTTTGTAACATGACCTGTTTTCTAGACTCGTCTGTACACACTTCCTTCCTCTACCTGGGGGTTGCTTGAAGAGCGGTGGGCACAGGCTTGTTAGCTGAGCTCAGCAACCTCCCAGGGCACGGTGGACCTCCCTCTCCATCTAGCTGCTAGCAGATGGTGCTGGGCCCACCACACAAACTCAGGTCCCTCTCTGGATGGTGCCAGGGCAGGGCCAGGAGTGGACAGGGCCAGGAGTGGACAGTGTTGCCTTGGCTCTGTGGAGTGATGCTGGCTGATGCTTCACGTGGCAGAGTCTGTGTGTGCTCTTGTGTGAAGTGGGGACATGTATCATGGTGTGACAGTGAGGCTCACGGACCGCTCAGCATCTCTAAGACAGCTCTACATTCCCTTCTCTCAGGGTCCCATAGCCAGGCCTGCTCTTGGCACCCACTGCTGTGGGCCTTGGGGTGGTCACTTAGCACTGTCACTTGAGGACAGTGATTTTGCGTGCTATACAGACCTGTCAGGAGAACTAACCAGGACAGTGTGGGAAGCACTGCACAGCTGTCCATGCTGCTCACTCGGACGGAAGAACCCAAATGACCTGTCTGTGTCGCATGCACACGAAGAGTTGCATCTTGGGAGGGAGTGTCAGGGTCCCTTCCTCTGGGTGGGTCACAGATGAAGCTAGGGTCGGAGTAGGAAGAGGTGGGCAGAATACAGAAATAGAGCCATCTGACACTCCTAAGGAGCTGAGTAGCCTTTGTTGGGAACCAGCAATATTGGTGGCACTTAAGTTGTCCCCAGCCCCAAAAGTGACTCTGGGTCTTTTGTAAAAACTTTATTATTTTGTATAAAACAAAGGTGGTCCATGCCTAGGGGCATAGGAAATCCAAGTAGACCAGCTGGGTAAGAGGCACAGCCTACCTGAGGAGACTGAAGAGGGAGGAATGTCCCCAAGGCACTGAGAAGGCACAGTGAGAGCCCCAGACCCCAAAAGGAGGCCTTGGATGAACCCCATCTAGGGGGTGGAGACTGGATGGCCACAGGCTGGGGAGGGGTCCAAGGCAGCTATGACCACACTTCCCAGGGCAGCAGCCCTCTCATGTCCAGGATGAAAGGGAGGGCAGGATGGGAGAAAGCACCAGTTCAGGTGGGGCCTGAGGTGGATCCGAGCCGGGTCTGGGGCTCGGATCCCACACCAGCTCCACCCTAGCAGCCCCCACAGCTCCTGGCACAGGAGGCAGCCACAGATTGGCACAGGCCACTGACAGCCATCACGCCACACTTGGAGAACTTGTCCCGGCACAGGTCAGCTGTTGGAGGGAGGGGAAGTCAGGTGGGAACCCGCCAGCCCATACTAGTGAGGATGGAGGGAGGGGCTTGCGGCCTCCTACAAGTGGGCCTGGACACCTATTCCATGCTAACCCTTGCAGGGGGGACATGGCCAGGTAGTAAAGTGGGGGGTGGGTGCTGCCAGGACAAAGGATGGAAGTTTCCTACCTCGGAGCAGTTCCTCGTGGGCACAGACTGTACGGACACATATCTCCTTGTTGACGACATACACCCGGCGAAGGCTGGGGGACGAGGCAGGAATGCTCTCAGGCACACCCGCACCTACTCCCACTGGGAGAGCCCAGGAGCCCAGGCCAGGCCCACCCTCTTCAGTGCCTGTCCCAAACTCACACCTCCCCTGGTGGGAGCGGCCCCTGGAGACCCTCCTCAGAGCCCTCACCTGTAGAAGCAGACCTCATTGAGACACTGTTTACAAGGCTTGTGGATGGAGTAGAGGCGGGTGCATGGGTACTGTTCCTCGCGGCAATCTAGGGACAGGTGGGTTCAGACCGGAGGCTCAGGGCTCAAGTGGCAGGTTCACAAAGTCTGAGCCCCTAAGCACCCTCAGGCCCTGCCCAGGTACCCACACAAACCCAGCACCCAGGTAGCACAGGACTGCCCAACTTTATACCACGCACAAAGTCACAACCCCACCCCATTTGGAAACATAAATTGGAACACAAATTCGCAGGCACCCCACTTGGTCACCGTGACAGCGCACTAGCTCACAGCTGCTCTATAACCCTCTATGTAACCAACTCAACACACAGTGGCCTTCTCCAGGCCCCTCTTCTCAGGCTCTCAGCTAGGTAGGACTCAGCTGAGCTGGACTTGCTGGCCCCTCTTCGCCTGGCCATGGGTACCACCCAGTCCAGGCTGTGGCCCCGGCACAGTGCTGGCTCCTCCCTAGACTCTGGCCAGATGTTGGTGGGGCTGCAGGGTGAGATAGCCCACAGCTGCTCCGGCATATGTCTGTCAGCTCCCTCACCTAGCATCCCACCATTGCCAAACCCTGCAAATCCCACCAAAAAGGCTCTCTCTGAAGCCACGCCTGCTTTCTCCAGCTTTCAGGAGGCTCTTACCAAGAGGCCCCGGCTCCGTGGGCTCAGTCTCCAGGTCCCCTGCAGCTGGTGGTTCTGGTGTGGGAAGACAGCCAGGGGTCACCGGGAGGTATTTGGGGCAAGGCGCACCTGTCTCAGGGCCTACCCAGACTCCCATCCTGAAGCACACAGGGAGCTGGGCCAAGGAGACAGCATTACCTGGGGTGGGGGCTGGGATGACTTCCTGTGGGACTTGTTGCTGGGACTGGAACTGTTCCTCAGGAGGTCGAGGACTCCCTTCTGCGGCAGGGGGTGGGTGACAAGGCATGCGCTCACTTTCCCCACAGGTCCCCACCAGGTTGCTGGCCCCGCCCGTCCTACCCCAGACTTTTACCTTGGTAGTCATAGTAGTTGTCTACATTGTCTAGAAGTGAAAAGGAAACAGAATGGTTGGGTCAGGCTAGCCCTAGGTCCCAGGAGAGTGGGGCAAAGAGGTCACAAATGAACCAGGGACCTGCGCCTGGGATCCCTACCGCCCCACTGAAATGGGTGCCATGAAGATGGGCCGGGCAGCACCGGGCCACTGGAGGGCTGTCTTACCAATCTGGTCGCCGTAGTGGTTGTACTGGACATGGTCCGGGAATGGGGGAAGAGGATCCAGGTCATATTGGCCCTGAGCCAGCAGGCCTGCTGAGGGGAGGGGTCACGTGTGGGCACCCCACAGAGGAAGGACAGAGAGAAACAGGTGGCATTCCTACAACCAGGCCCAGACTCAACAAAACCAAACTGGGTCCTGAGTCAGTTTCCTGCCCCTGCCCTGGCCTAGGCCTTCTGCCCTGGGTGGCCTGCTGGCTGCTCCAGGAATTCTCACGCTCCTGCCTTCCACAGGACTCTCCCCAGGCCTTCTCCAGGTCTCAACTAACATGTCAGCTCTGCTGGGGCCATCCCTGACCCACCTGCCTTGCTGTGTATTTCTATCATAGCACTCAACACAATCTAAAATTTACCAGGTCTGCTTGTCCAGGCCTCTTCCCCAGCCTGGCCACATGTGTCTGCCTAATTCACAGCTGTCTCTTGCAGCACTTAGCTTACCTTAGATGTGGCCTAGACAGGCTCGGTGAGTGGACGAGTGACTCCTAGGTCTGGCAGGATCTTTGCGGTCCCCACTGAAAACCTCCTCATGTGCTAAGTACCCCTCAAAGGCCAAGACTGCAACGGCAGAGCCCTATACAGATCTGACCCAGGGCCTGGACTCCCTGCCTCAGGCTCCTCCCCTGGGTGGTGTAGACCTGAAGCAGAGTTCTGGCCATGAGGTAAGTCCCACACGGGAGTCCCCACCCCAGCAGCTGCTTACCGGGCAGGAAGAGCAGGAAGAGGCAGGCGGCTCTCATGGCCATGGAGTGAGGAGGCTGTGGTGGCGCTGAGGACAGCTAGAGAGGAGGAAAGGAGAGCCAGCTGCATGCCAGCAGCCAGCCCAGGACGGCAGAACCCACTTCTGTCCCCAGCTCAGTCTGCAGGGGACAGACAGAGCCAGGCATCTGGAGGTGGGAAGAGACATCTGCAGTCCCCGGTTAGGCAAGGTGCCAGGACTGACTTGGGTCTTTTAAGGACGGGTCTCATGTAGCCCAGGTTAGCTTCAACCTACTATGCAGAGGAAGAAGCTCTTAACAAGCTGACAGACACTACCTTGTCCTGCTCACTAAGGAGACATCTCTAATAGCCATTCACCCCACCCTGACTGTACCCACTTCTGGCCCATCCATCTCCCTGACTTTCTGATGTGAATTCCAATGACTTCAGGCACATCCTTAGGGTACCAGCCCTACCCAGCCAACACCACGGTCAGCCACTAGCTCAGCAGCATTTGCCAGGTCTGCCACCTGCTCCCAATTAGCCCCTGGGCCCTGAGCATGCTGCTCAGCAGGAAAACCACATGCATACAGGCCCCAGGAGCCCCCAGAGCGGCCAGGGCTGGGCAGGACTCCCAGCTCCAAGACGCCGCCTGCCAGCTCCAGGCCTCCCAAGACCTGGCTGTCTTCATTACAGACACACGCACGAGACTGAGGCCTGTTTGTCTGCAGCAGCAGGAAACATGGGGAGGAAAGCTGGGAGGCGAGGGCACCTCTGGCTCCCAGCATGCTAACTGGGTGAGGCGAAGTCGCTTGGCCCAGAGACTCAGAACCCTTGACATGACCCTGGATGACAAGAGTGTAGTCTTGGTGAGGGCACTGGTCCAGGGCTTGCACAAAGTTCCTAATACCCAGGAACTCCAGGGTGAGTCCAGCCTTCACTGCTGACTACAGAGTCAGCTGGCTATGCCCTGTCTTAGCCAGTGGATGGTGACTTCTAGATGCTGCCCACAGGCTCATCCATCCAAAAGCTCCCTACCCCACCATGGGAAGTTCTTCCACACAGCTTGAACCCCAACTCTGACCCCCTGGGGGAGAGAGCAAGGGAAAGGCAGAAACAGGGCATCTAACCTCAGTTTCCCCAACTGTGAGGTTTCTTGATATCTTGCCCATCTCAGAGATCTCACTCAAGCGTCCCCTGGTGGGGGCCAGAGGCCCTTGCTAGTTTATATCCATAGGGACCACCACTCCAGGCTCCTCACATTCCCACTCTTAAGTTCTGGGCAGCCTTGTGGCAGGGGGGCCACATACAGAGTGATGATTGACCCAGTCCCTGTGCATTAGGAGGCACCAAGTGGTTGCCAGTGTGTATCAGAGCCTTCCACACTCACACCCAGGCCCAGGCTTATGGCAGGGAACGGGACTCATTGGCTAGCCCCAGCAAGAAGGAGAGAATAATGAATTGTTCCCAGGGGACCCAGGCAAACTCTTCAAAACTGGAGTTTGGGAGTTGTTAGCGAGGCCAGGAGCTGTCCGGATGGCTGATCCACCCCCACCTCTGGCCCTTTCCATAACTTCGGCCTCCCCCAACCCCTCGGCAACTCTGTGGTTCTGGGGGGCGAGGACTGGGAGCCCCCTTGCTGGCTCAGACCCGAAGGGGGCCCACCAGATGCTGCGGCACCGCTGTACAGCTGGGAACAATCAGCCGGCGGAAACTCGCTGGCTCTCCACTTCGCTCTCTCTTTGTCTCTGTGTCCGACCCCTGCCCCGCCCTCCACATCCCAAACGCTGGGGGGACAGCCGCCCTGTCCCCCAGCACCCCCATCTCGATGACCCCTAAGTTCCAGCTCCCTGCCTATCCTATCTTGCGCCCCACCACTTGCCAGGTGCCCCCTCAGCATCCGCTCCATACCCCAGGGCCAGGGTCTCCGCAATCCCCCCCACCCCAGGAACGGAATGTGGAGCATGGCGCCCCCGACGCCCCTGGGCGCGCCCAGCCCGCGCCTACCTGTCGGGGCCCCTGTGCCGCCGTGCTCTAGTGCAGCTGAGAGTGCCGGCCCGCCGCCCGCAGCCAGAGCCCCCCTACGGCCCCCAAGGCCCACGCCCGCCCCTAGCCCGGAGTCGCTGGGTCCTAGAGAGCGCCGCCGCCACGCCGCACCCTCGAGGCTCCAGCCCCTCCCCAATGCCGCTGGGTCTGGGCCTGGTACTAGTCAAGTGAGCCGGCTGGTCACCCCCTTTCACAGAGGGGTCCCAGCCTCTCCACCCAGAGTCCAGAGGTCACTGGGCTGGATACGAAGCCTTGCCTACTTCCTGCCATCTCTCTCTCTCTCTCTCCCTTTTTTCCTTTTCCTTCCCTGTCTCTTTCCTTTCCTCCCAGCATGGCCGATGACCTCAGGGCAGATCAAATTCAAGAATACCCAAGTCCAATTTCACAACCCCAGGAGTTGACCTCAACCCAGGGAAGCCCCAGCTTTCTTCCCTTAGCCTCCCTCTGCTTTCAATGCCCCATTTGTGGCACTAATTATTATTATTATTATTATTATTTTAAGATTGATTTATTATGTATACGGAAGAGTGTGTCAGATCTCATTACAGATGGTTGTGAGCCACCATGTGGTTGCTGGGAATTGAACTCAGGACCTCTGGAAGAGCAGTCGGTGCTCTTAACCTCTGAGCCATCTCTCCAGCCCCTAATTATTATTTTTTGTTTTTTTTTTTTAAAATTTTATGTCCATTGGTGTTTTCCCTGCATGTATGTCTATGTGAGGGCACCAGATTCCCTGGAACTGGAATTACAGATAGTCGGAAGCCACCATGTGGATGCTGGGAATTGAACCCAGGTCCTCTGGAAGAGCATTCAGTGCTCCCAACCACTGAGCCATCTTTCCAGCCCCTGGTACTAATTCTTATCCTGGGGGTTCAAGTTCAGCTCCCATGGGACTAAGTCTGCACTGTGTATTTCTTGTCCCTGGTCCACTCAGTGAGCTGCACTGCCTTGCTGTGTGTCTATGGCAACGGAACCAGGAAGCCCTGGGGTCAGCCAGCTGTCCTTTACGGTCAGGCCTAATCCCCCTCGGTAGGAGGGAACCCACCTGGCAGAAATGCTGCCTCTATACTTGACAAAAGGGGGAAACTGAGGACCTACAGCCAGCAACACCAAGGTCCTGGCCAGGATCTGCGGCTTCTCCTGCCTACTACCCTAGCCCCGAGGATCCGGGCAGAGCAGCAGCTGTCTGAAGAGGGTGAGGGTGTCTGTGATCTTTGTTCATGGATGATTCCCCTCACCCTATCAGCCTCACCCAGAGTTAGGAGCTGCATGTGGACAAGGCTGACCTCACTCTTTCTCTGCTTTGGCCCTTAGGTCTGGCACATGCCTGCCCAACCACAGAGTGTCGGCAAAGTCTGTCCAACCTTGCCATCCTGACTGTTGTGGTCTGAATGAAAATGGGCCCCACAGGCCCAAAGGGAGTGGCACTATTAGGAGGTGTGGCCTTGCTGGAGTAGGTGGGGCCTTGCTGGAGGAAGTGTGTCACTGGGGTTTCAGAAGCTCAAGCCAGGCTAGTGCCGTGGATCCAGACTTAGAACTCTTGCTCCTTCTCCATCACCATGTCTGCCTCCATCTTCCTGCCATGATAACGGACTGAATCTCTGAACCTGTAAGCCAGCTCCGATTTGCCAAGGTCATGATGTCTTCGCAGCAACAGAACACTGGTCTTGTCCACTGCCACCGCACTCAGTCCAGTCACATCTAGAGCCAGTATATGCTGATCAATCCCTTTTCACCGCGGCCTGACTCAACATTCCCTGAGCTTCGAGTGGCCTGTGGAGCCACCAGGCTTCCAGGAACAAAGCTGGAGGAGGCCTAGGAAGAGGAACCAGCCCTTCTTTCTTGTCCTCCCTGCCCAGGAGGAGCCAAGCCAACTTGCATCTCCAGAGCAGAGGAGCCTGGCCAGCAGCCCACTGGTGGGGTGAGGTCAGATGCATCCACCCTTCCCAGGGGGACAGGCTTGTGGTTCTGGCTGGGAGACCTGGGCTTAGAGCCTGGCTTGATCTGAGGAACCAGACCACAAACACATCCGAGGATGTGGGAGTGGCAGGCGGAGAAGACAGCCCCCAGTGAGCTGGCTCTCAGGCACAGGCTCTATCTACCAAGCCCCGGCTTGAGGGCAAGCCCATGGCTCCTCCCTCCTGCTGGGGTCGGAGGGCTAGAAACAGTGAAGCTGAGATCAGGCACAGTGCAGCCACTGCTGTGACCCCCAGCCTCAGTTTAGCTATCACCATCTATAAAATGGGGTCGGACCCTGCAGGTGTAGGGCACGAGACGGCATGAATGAGAGACTAAGCTGTATGTATGCATCAGGTATCCCACCTACAGTGGGAAGCACACTGTCAGATGAAATGGACACTCCGAGGTGTCCAGTGGGACCAGGAAGGGTGACCATGGGACCTGGACGGTGAGACACATCACAGTGCCCAGATCCAAGACCAGTGTTGCCGAGGCAGGAAAACCACTTTATTTGCTCCACTGACTGCAGCTCTGGCTGGAGTTGGTAGCTGCTATCTCTACACAGGATGGTCTAAGGTGGGGGATAACAATCAGCACTTCCCCAGGCGGGTTCAGGGAAGGCTGGGCCAGGCAGTGTCCGGGCAGGAATGTGACAACAGCCAACTTGGGAGCCGTGGGAGGTGATGGGTGCTGTTTCTCGAGATGGGTCCAGTCACAGCTCAGGGGCAGGGGGATCCAGTGTCCAGCATGCCCTCCAGGCCTACACTACCTCACAGAGCCGATGGGCAGTGTGGGCCAGGGCTGTTCAGCAAGCTCCAGTTCTAGCCGCTTGAATTGCTTCTTGGAGGCCCGTTTAGGCCGGAACCACCGCAGGCAAGGCGGGAGGCACTGGTCCAGCACACTCTGCAGAGGGCAAGTGGGAAGGGTGTGGAGGGGCGGCTGGGCCTGGCTCCTCCGTGTCCCTCCCTAGCATCCCTCAGTGTGGACCCTACCTCCAGCATGAAGGCGCCCACAAAGTTGAAGGCGACCAGGCCCAGCAGCAGCAACTTGAAGGAGCTGTCCGCAATGTTCCTCAGTCCTAGTGGCCCCTGCAGGAGGCCGGGGACCAGGATGAGGCCCACCAGGACAGAGCCCAAGAACGCCAGGGCCACCAGGAAGGGCACTGGGGGTGGGGGAGTCCGTCAGCAATGGCGCTGCGCCCTGGGACGCATGCACACACGCACACACGCACAACCACACACAGGTGCGCACTCGACTCAGGGTCCCTTCTCCATGCCAGCTGCCACCCCTCAGCCCGACACCCCCACCCCACCACGCAGCAGCACCGTTGGTGTAGAGCGGCTGGCGGAAGGGCGCCCCCTTAGACACGGCTGCAGCCAGGATGAGGTACTGGAAGCTAGATAAAGAGAAGACCACTGTGTTCTCGTAGTTGGGCAGGTTGTCGGGTGCGGGCACTGTTCTGTTCAGAGGCACAAACCTAGGGCCCAGGGTGGTAGGGTTAGGTTAAGAGTGAGGGGTGTCAGAGGCAGGGGCAGTACCGGTGCAAGGGATTCTGCGACTTACCAGGGCTGGGCTACCACCAAAAAGTAGCCCCCCAGCTGGATACCGGCCACCAAGGCCACCTGCAGCAGCAAACTGCCCAGAACGGGCACGCTCAGCAGCGCCCCCGGTGGCCGCGCCCGCACTAACTTCTGTGCCGGGCCCGTGCGGCTCATGAGCACAGCGATGGTGGTGGTGATGACAAGGTCGATGGCCAGGAACTGTAGGTCTCCTAGGTTGGTGTTGATCTGTGGCAGGCAAGCGGACAGAGGAGACGCTGAGGACCAGCTCTTGCAGAGCCCCAGGGTGTCCCCTGTCCCCACGGAGCCGGAAGAATCCTTTCCGCCCACTGTCTGACCCAGCATCCTCAGCTAACGCCGGTGGACCTCAAGCCTGATGAAAGATGCTCCCACCGATCTACGGCGCAGTCTGATACATGACATGCTGTCCTGCCCCTGGTGACGCTAGAGTCTAAAGTTCCCGTGGAAGGCTGCTTTACAGATAGCAAAGCCCCAGCCTGACGGAGCAGAGGGGCTGCCTGGTGGGGCCCCTCTCTCTGCTCTAGAGAAACTGAGGCAGACCTGGATCTGGCCCATTGCACCTCTGTAGTCGGGGGTGGGGGTGGAGGGAGGGGGGTGGCAAACAGGACACGCTCTGGGCAGGGAAAGGCTCTGTGTCACTCCTGCCTGGGCTCTGCCTTATTCGCCCCTGCAGACTAGGAGCTTTAGGAGATAGAGACAGCTATTAGCATACACCAGTAGCCCCACTTCTAGGGACCCATGGCCAGTGGTTTTGAACCATGAACCTGAGCCATGGCAGGTAGATGACAAGTCACAGCTCCCTGACTCCTCCCTGGTGGGACACCGGTGGGGTGCAGGCTTGGGGTCTGATGCTCACTGTATAGAGAATCAGGACCGAGATGAACTGGGTCAGGCTGTAGAGGGCCATGTACTTGAAGACGCTGAACGAAGTGTCCAGAGAACAGCGGCCCTCCCTAGGAGGCAGAGGAGGCCATCAGGGGCTCAGGCTGCTGGCAGGCCCCGCCTCACCACACCCACCAGCCCTGCCCGCCTCACCTGATGACGGTGGGCACACACTCAATACTGGCCATGCTGGAGGTGAAGGGCGAGACCACTGAAGCCTCTGCCTGGGATAGCGAGATGCCCACATCAGCTGCCTTCAGGGCTCCACAGTCATTGGCTCCGTCTCCACACATGCCCACACAGTACCTGACAGAGAGGGGAGTAGATACGGCCCGTGAAACAACTCCATGCCCCAGGGAGAGGCCAGCCTAACGACCAGCTGGTGCTTGGTAAACAGATGTAGTTATTTTAGGCATGACAGAGATGCCTGCTTGGGTACCCGTTTTTACTGTTTTTGGGACAGATCCCAGTATGTCTTAAATGCTAGGTAAGCTCTCTACCACACATCCAGCCCAACCTAAGTGTGGTTTACTATTTACTTGTTTATTATTGAGACAGGGCCTTGCTGGGTACCCCTGGCTGGCCTGGAACTCACTAAGCTACATCAGTCCTGCTTTTTTTTTTT